AAAGATTTATAATCAATTAAAATATTAATTAAAAAAATAGAATAAAAATTATTAAATTGGATTCAAATGATGCTTTAATATAAATAATAATTTTTAAATCTTGCTCAAACTCTTAATGTCTTATGGCTACACGATTAAGGTTGTCAAAACGACTCTTTGTTCGTGAACAGCTCGTGTTTGGCTCATTTAGCAAATGAGTCGAACACGAACACACTTTTTTAGCTCGAAATATAAACGAGCCGAACACGAGCTGAGCATGGCTCGCTCGTGTTCGGCTCGTTTACACCCTTAGTCCCGCTAAAAAAAATGTGCAACGATTTTCGTGCAATTTGTGCGCGCGTGTAACCCTAGCAATATGGGTATCCTTCCCGGCTAAAATTGACGTTCTGGACACGTCGGCATGGTCCGTTTCGTTATACGGGGTTGTCCGGATGAGTTTGCTGACGATCAAGCCAAAATGTGTCAACTTTGTGAGTGGTGTAGCGAATGCGTTGCTGAGTCACGGAGGGTTCACATAAGGCCGTATGATCTTGTAGGAACTCAATATGGGCCCTCTACATATTAGTCCTTAGTCTTTTCAACTAAAAGTTGAGTGCTTGGAACCACTCATGCGAGTTCTTCACAAAAATGAGTTATGAAGTGGTTTGAAGTTCTACGGGAGGTGGGATCCATTACTAGTCTGCTAAGATGGTCAACAAGAAACTCCTAAGGCTAGATTTTGGGTTATGGGAGTAGGAAACTAAGACCTCACTAAAAATGAGATCAACACACATCAATTTAATTCCTCTATAATTAGCACACTCTTGTGCATTCCCTTTATTCTTAAAAATGAAGACCAAAATACTCTTCCTCCACTCCTTAGGCATCGTTTTAGTTTTTAAAATAATACTAAAGAGAAGCCAAGAAACTCCCAAATTTCCTAAATATTTTCACACTTCAATTAGGATACCATGAGGTCCTACAGACTTTCCACCCTTTGTTTTCTTTAAAGTCTCCTCAACTTTTTTTTTACTAATGCAATGGTGAAAATAAAACATTTTATTACGATTAACAATATTAAGATCACTAAGGTCATCTTATTTTCTGAAACTTCATTAAAAAATTTAACAAAATAACTCACCTACCTATTTTTAATATCTTTTTCTAAGAAAAGAACTTTTTGATTTTCATTTTTAATACACTTTACTTGAGTTAAATCTTTACTTTTCTTTTCTCTTTGTTTGACTAATTTATACATATATTTTTCACCTTCCTTAGTATCTAATCTATTATAAACATGACTAAAAGTAGAATTTTTAGCATCAAAGATTTTTCCCTTAGACTCCCTACGGGTCGTTTGATATTTTTCCCAATTCTCTAAGCTTTTACATTCAAATCAATATTTATAACACGTCTTCTCATATTTTTTCTTTTATTGCACATTATTATTCCACCACCAACTATTTTTATTTATTGAAACATTTTTCTTTTGATTCTCCAAGTACAACTTTTGTCACTGGTTTAATATTTTTTGTTACTTTATCTCATATAGAATTTGTTTCTTCATGAATATCCCAAATTTTGAAATCTTAAATTTTACTCAGAAATATAATTTTATTTATATCTTTTAGGTACCCTCATCTAATTCTACGATGAGAATTCCTAGTATTTTTTTATTTTATAACTCTTCATCTTAAATCTAAAACTAATAATCGATGTTGGGTACTTAAATCATCACTTGAAATGACCTTACAATCTTTACAATCTCGATGATCTCTTCTTTTCTTAAGAAAATAAGCAATTTGTGTTTTATTAGATCAATTCTTATAAGAAATAATATGCTCGTCTCTTTTTTTGAATAAATTATTAGCAATACCAAAATCATACAACAACAACAAAGCCTTAATCCTACTACGTGGGGTCGACTACTTGAATCCTTTTTCTCTATTGTGTCCTATTTAGTGTCATATTTTCATTTAGTTCTAGTAAATTAAGATCATTTTTTAATACAATAAGCCCAAGTTTTCCTAGATCTATCTCTGTCTTTCTTAACACAGGTCGAATCTAAAACATCTACTCTCCTAATCGGATCATTAGATGGTTGACGTTTAATGTGACCAAATCATCTAAGACAACCTTCTCTAATTTTGTCCATCACAGGAGCTACACCAACCCTATCACGAATATATTCATTTCGCATTTTGTCTCTAAGTGTAAAGTCACCCATCCACCTAATCATTCTCATCTCGACAACACTTAACTTATTATTATGCTTCTTTTTTAAAGGCCAACA